AGCCCGGAAGTGCGAAAAACGGGCGCCGGAGGGCGTCGGAGGATGTATAACTGGTTGCTGCAACAATTGCTGGCCTCCCATCCTTCAGTGACCTCCCCGGTGATAAAACAGAGGTACCTGCCAAAAATGAATGAAAATCGTTGCAAAACGAAAGCTCGGGGACCAAAACGCGCAGTTCGAGGTCCCGAAAATGGGCTGTTAAGCACCGAAAGTGGCATTCGGCCACGAAGTGGGTTTCTCAGACCCCAGTGTCCCTCAAAAGGGAGCAAATAAGGAGTATGCCAAAAATTAGAACAAACGGAGGTGGTTAGGCGGTCCCGAACCGAGGCATACGGCCAACGGTCCCGAAAAACCGGAAACCGGACTCCGAAATGGGAAAAATGGCCTACGGCCACGAAATGTAGCCTACGCCCACTGAGAGATGGTCTACGGGACCTCTCCCTCCCCTCAGGAAAAGAAACAGAGAAAACCGAGTCTGGTTCGCAAATCGAGGCAAGGCACAGAAGAGGGTTCGGAAGTCCGGAGGCAGGGCTCACGACCAAGACTCTAAAACTTCTGAACGAGCACATTATGCAATATCACCAAGCGCTCAACTGGTGACGTCTGAGTCTCAAGGTCGGTCAAAAATGGGGTGTCTACAATTGGCAATGGTGGAAAATAGTTTGGGCTGCATCAGAAGATTTGATTTTGTGTTTTTGGAAATATTTTGACATAGGATTTTGGTAAATGATTTATGGATTAAATGTTTAGCATCAAAATATTTGGTGTTGTGTTTTTGCAAATATTTTGACATAGGATTTTAGTAAATGACTTGTTGGTTAGATGTTTAACATCAAAATATTTGGTTGTAATTTTGAAAATATTTTGACATAGGATTTGGTAATGTATTTATGGGTTTGATGTTAGTAGTTTGTAAGTACTTTGGTATGTATGTTTTAGATTGTCAGAGAATTGTAATTATATTTATTGGGATTTTTCATAGCTATTAATTTTGAATTAGTATGAAGGTCTTGCACAGGTGTATTATTATTTACATTACATTTGTGTATATATTGTGCACAGGAAAACAGGTGTTTTGGATTATTTTGAACAGGAAAATTATTGAAATCAAAATTTGTGTACTGAATTTTTAGTGACTGGTGGTATTTTGGTCGCTGTTAATATATTTGGTGACAACATATTGTTTTTGTCGCTAAAAGTTAGTGGTTATTCCAATAACTTTTAGCAATCAAAACTTACTCGTCGCTAAAAACGCGATTTTTAGCGACCAAATTAATGTTGTTGTTAAATAGTACTTTTGGCGACGCATTTATTTGTCGTTAAAACTACATAGTCTATCCAAATTTTAACCTTTTAGCAACAAATTGTAATTTTATAGCGATAAAATATATGATTTTTGGCGACCAATTTTGCTTGTCGCTAAATGTCTACCTATGGTGACCATTTCTGATTTCGTCGCCAATACTTTTAGTGACAGGCCTTTGGCGACAAGTTGTATATTTGTCGCCGATTCTTTTGGCGATGGAATTTGTACTTTTGGCGACAAATTTTTGGGTTGCCAAATGTGTTTTTTGTTGTAGTGTCATAAAACTATACAAAAATAAATAAATAAGTGCCAATAAATTCACTCAAAATGAATAATTTAAATTACCCAAACAAATCCACAAATTATGAACGGCACCCTTTCACTACGATGGCCTCATACCGTGTATTTTTGGGCATTGTTGTTTAATAATTTCTACAGGTTTACATCAATTTGACCTTTGAAGCAAACTTCTAAAACTCAAACATTATCCTTGGATTAAGTTTTCAAAAATAATATATGCACCAAAAATAAAAATAAAAAATAAAACTAACTTAAAAATTAAATTTGTGAATCAAATTTATTATAATATTAACTGATAAGATTCTTCTGCAATATTCACCCTCTTTTAGAGTGCGTACTATATGCAAATTATCATAATTTGTGGTGTTAAACATGTTGAAAATTATGATTTTATAGGTTTATTTTGGGCCAACTTTGAGTTCAAATTTAATTAAGCCCACACGTATTTTGGGGTGGTTCCAAGTGGTGACGTGTTCCTTACCGCATTGCAAGTCACACGGTGAAGACAGTTCGTCAAACCATTTATGAGTGAATGGAAAGTTGATATCGTTTTTGGGTTCGTGAAATAGAAAATTGAAGAGTCAATTGTGGGCTTCCTTATATTGGTTATCCCACATTGAAATTTCAAGAGAGTTTGTGTAAGTATATAAACTCTAGGTAGACATACTTGGGTCCCAACTTAAATTTTAAATTTTTAATTCCTATTATATATATGAATTTACACATACTTGGGTCCCAACTTAAAGTTTAAATTTTTAATTCCTATTATATCTGATATGAATTTACTAATAAAGACATTAAATAATAAATATTAAAATAAAATATTATTTTTTTCTCATGATATACCCTAATCAATTTTATGTCTTCCTATTTAAATCTCTTCTTCTTCTTCTTCTTCTTCTTCTTCTTCTCCAAGTTTCAATTATTTTCTTTCATTCTTCTTTCTCATTCCAAAATTTCACTCCACCAAAACACACCATTATTATTAATATCATTATTTTTTATTATATTATTGGTTGCACTTACAAAACTTGCACAACCTTTCACTAAGCAGTTTGCTTTGTTCTCGAATAATATCGCCTCCCAAAGTGCAGTCCTCATATTCCCAGTTGCGTAGTAGATTGCTTGACAGATTATTGTTAAAAAAAAAATAAAATCCCTGCAGCTTTCAAAGAACATTTGATTATATATAAGTATATCTCAGTATATATAAATGGTCTTCGCTTATCAAACTCAAGTTTCAAATTTCACTTATTTCAATTTATATATATCAACCCTAAATTTGTGTTTATGTTTCTTATTTTACTAAATCATTAATTTTGTTTTCTCTAATCATGTGGATTACCAGTCCAATCATGCCATTAGTGTAAAATTGCAATCTTTTAGTGTATTATTATGCAAACTAGGTTAAATACAATCTCTGAAGTATGGGTAATGCGAAAAATATGCCATACGCATACCGGGTACTTACCGGCGTATGGTAGCTTGTATGGTACTTCTACATACGTACTAAGTACACAAAACACGTACGCAAATTTTTTCTTCTTAATTTTTAACGTACCTAAACGTACTTAATATACACTCAAGACATACCATACCATACTTGAAACAATATTTTTTTCTACTACAGACATAAAACTCCTTTCACTAAACTTCTTTTTTAGTTTTAGTTTTATACTTTGCATGATTTTAAAATTAAATTATGGTTTGCAAGTTATTTGTATATTGACATTTAATTTTCATTTATACATTTACTTTTGACATTAAATATTAATTATAGGTTGGATCTTAACAATTAAACTATTTAATTAATTTTTGCATTACTTTAAATTAAAAATAAATATTTTTTTATAAGCATACCAAGACTTACCCGTACCCTACTTTTTTTGAATTTTACCGTATCGACATACCCGTATCGTACCAGTACCCGTACTCGTACCCATACCTGTGCTTCATAGAATATAATGAACTTATATGTATATATATATATATATATATATCAAAATCAAGCTTTAATTTTGTCTGATTTCGACTAATATCCATTACGTTGGTTATATGGAAAAAAAAAAAATGTGTACTAGATTAATAACAAAACAAGTCACTAATCCTAAGCTCAAAAGAAAAGTTTTTCAAAACTAATTTGAATTTTTTAAGTTATTTTATTTGAGTGTACTTCAAAAGGGTAATTTAGGGAGAAAAAAAAAAGTGTATTACGAATAAATTGAAACCTTAAATAATTTAATAGGGTGTACAAAAAAATTGGGCTCACTTAAATATTTTTTGGGTGTAATTAGAATTCCCCGGAAGGGAGTTATGGACAAAGTGGGCTTGGCTCAAAACCACCACACACACGCGTCGTCGCCGTCCGTCCGACTGGATGTAGGTGGTGGGTCAAGTCCTAACTTTAATTTTTTGGACAAAATTTATTTGAATTTTTTCAAATTCTTGCTGGAAAATTTGAATTCTTAACAGATTGGTTCAAACATTTGCACCAAAAATTTGAATTCAAATTTTGCTTCAAACCATTGCCTTCTCCGGTCGTCTCTCTTTCTTTTCGGCGGTTCATATTTCACACATGTTCGGAGGGTTTTTTGCCCTTCCGAGCAGACACCACAATGCCTATAAATACAGACCTTTTCTAGCAATTTCAGATGTCCAATTCTTTTCCGTTTTCCTTTCCTTCCTGCATTTACTCTTCATATTAGTTTATAGAATTTTCAGAGAGTTGCAGAATTTAGGTTTGGTTCACAAGACAGATTGTTTGTAGTGCTACTACAATCTGTGAGAGTGATTATTGTATCTTGGGAGATAGACATCGATAAACCGTGAGCACCTGTGCGGCGACAAATCTGTTTTAAGAATAGAGTGTCACACACTCGACTTGATCAAAAGTTTGCTATTCTAATTTCTGAGACAAGAATATTTCTGTAAGTATTTTATTTTTGTTATTTTAGTTTCATTTCTTTACACAAAAGATTATTCCAACAAACACTACAAGAAATTTGACTTTTAGCAGTGTTTCAAAAACGCCGCTATAGGCTTGAAAAACGCCACAATAGGATTTTGCAACGTTTAATATTTTCATCGTAGATACGGCCGCCGCAATAGCTTAGCAACGTTTCAAAAGCGTCGCTAAAAACATAAGACGACGTTTTTTAAAACGTCGCAAAATCTTTGACAGCCACTTACTTTTCCGTTAATGATGTAATGATGATGTCATTCAGTGACGTTTTTCTGAAAAACGCCACCTTTCTTCATTTTTAGTACTTGTGTCAGATGTGATGTCATGTTGACATCATTTAGTGGCATTTTTTTCAAAAAGTCATTTTTTTAAAGAACACAGCCCAATTAATTGAGAATCTCACTAGGTATAGAAATTGAAAATTAACTGACAATTTATATAAATTTATAACTAGGAACAGAGATTGTGAATTAACTAATAATTAATATAAAAGAACACAGATTGGATCAAATTTGAATTACAATGCCAAATTAAAGACCATAAAAATTTTAGTTTATCTCCTTTGGAGATTTAACCCTGCAACTTTCCAAATCTCAATCATATACTGTCAAACAATTTGAATTTTCTTCAAATCAGCCCCCCATGTTTAGTGCAAACCTTAGGTGAGAATCTCCATTTTCTCCATGAGAATACTGATCAGGTCTGCTTGTACCTACACCACATACAATCTTCATAAAATTAAACAAGGAAGAAATTGGTTACCAATAGGAACCATCTGAAACGAACAAGCAACACGCTTGAAATCCTCCAAAAAATACCCACAAAATGATCAGGCAACTTCCTCGTAGCATCTATAGCACCCTTGATATTATTCCGTTCCCAAAAATGGCGCACCACCTACATTCATTAGAATTTTATATTATCTGCATCCTTACAAAAAACAAGATGCTTGAATGCAATTCACATAAGAGAGAATAGCAATTTTCTTCAAAAGGGAAAATCAGAGGCAAAAGTTTGTCAATTATTACAAACATCCAGTAATTTTCCATGCAGGAAAACTGCTTAATAGATGAGATAATTTCAGCAATCAGCAATAATGCCAAAATAGTAATAAATGAGATCCACATACCTGTAATTTTGTCAAGTGAGACCGAAGGGTACTTAAGAATACATCATGATTCTGCATCAAATCTTCAATAACATTACCATCATTTGCAGATGTCAACTCCCTTTCAATAATTTGTAGATGTTCATTCTGTAAGTTTCCAAGTAGCGTGATAAATATTCAAAAGACTACTTGACAAAATCTAAGAATATGTTTGCATTATATAAGAGAAAAACCCTGAAATAAAAAAAATTTAAAAAAAAAATTTAACTACAAGGTTTTATTTTAAATAGTCCAGAATAGAACACCATTCTCATTACAACTGGCCATTAACATTGGCCAATTTATCTATGAGTACTGTTTTATCTTTACATAGTAATCCTTTTAATGTATAACTTTGGTGAAATGGCTTAATAGGATCCATGCCAATCCCAAGTAATTGGGAGAAAGGCTTAGTTCAATTGAGTTGTAGCCTATGGTTTCATTATATCTACAGATATGTAAGTTGAGGATTGATTAAATATTTTGCAATGGAGTTGATTGATTAGAGCTATGAATGGTAGATATGAAAGCTAGTGTTGGTTTGTCTTGGGTGAGGGAACTAGTGTGAGGTGGTGGTTATCTGTAACAGAGAGGGTTGCAAAGGGAATGGTGGTGCTTTCATGGTTGATGGAGGTTCGGGTCCAACAAAGGGATGAGAGAAAGAGAAAGGTATTTGTTAGAAAATGTATAAATATTTCATTAAAGGTTGATTTTGTTGATATCTTGTAATAATTATGGTTTAGTGACCAGTTCTTTATGGTGATAATTGACGGCAACTAGACACGGTAGAGGTGAAGGTAGCTAGATTTGGACTATTAGGATCTGCATATAACAAAATAATGCAGTCTACTAATTCAAAATATCCTGTGTGAGTGAGAGGTCATATAAATTGAAACCAAATTACATATCAATTTATCTATGCATAGCAGCCACAGAAGATAACTATTTTAGGAGGGAAAACCATACCAACATGGGGGATATTTTAGCCATCTCAGGTATTATTTGAGGGGTTGTATCAGGTGCCTGAACTTCATCACTATTTAATCTCCCTCTCTCTCATTTCAAACCTCTCAACCAGAGTGTGTGTCCTTCCTTGTACAACTGCCACTGCCAAAAGAAAATTTCTAAATGAATTAGATTCTATCAAACATGTCTTTAAAAACTGTGTAGATAGCATTTGATAGCAGACCTCCATTCACAACTTTAACTGAATTTGTCCCTTCAGTGCCATTGAGGGACTCATTACCTGCAAATAATTGAAAACAAATCAATATTTTGAGCAACAGATTATTATTATAATAACGTATATATGTAATCAAAAGCTCATAGGTTGTATATCTATTTTGAACTCATAGGATTTAACATGAGGAAGGAGAAATCAAATTTAAAATGTATGTAGGGAACAATGTTTAAAATTCTATATAAGGCTTGAATATAAATGGCATTGATCTGCCAAAAATTCAAAAATGGAAAATAGTAAGAGAATTCAAGAAATATTGGAATGACATGGAGTTTAAGAACATG